TGTGTGTCCTGCTGAACCGAGCCGCCATAGGTTGAAGAGTTCACCTTCTTCCATATGCCTTGGCCTTGCAGCACAGCCAGGAAAATGGCGTGCGTCTGTGTGTGGACGAGGTGGCTTGTGTGATTGGTGTTGAGGTGTGTGGTGTTTTCAGGGCAAATCCTGTCCATGGCATAAAATATGACGAGCAGTATTGAGCTGTCTTAAATCTAGAGCACTGGTGGTTACGTTTCCTTTATAAAAGATTTAATACAGTTTGGGCCAGCGTGTTGTACATGGCCACGCACAAAAACGAGCTGTAGCATCCCAATACACTTACTGACCCTGGTCTTCCCTGAATCCCCTGGTCTCCAAGGAGATAGGAAAGCCTTGAGTGGTCTTTGAGGACGTGGCCTAGAGAGCACGTGTTCATGGGGAAGGGGCTGTGGAGCAGCGTCCTTCCACAAGCCTTGAGCTCATCCAGCAAGCTGAACCCTGCCAGCCTGCAGAGGAGAAAACCTGCACTACCAGCACAAACCTTGGGGACTCTCCTCCTGGTCCTGTTCACCCCAGTGCTGGTGCTTCAGCCAGGGATGGCCAGTTTTCTGCACCAGTTTTCCTACCACCTGGCACTGGCAGGAGCCCAGAGCTGGCACAGCTGGCCGGGTTGGCTACACGGGAATCTGTGGGGCATCACCTGGGGCGGGCCTGGCATCCCAAAGCCGTGCGAACATCAGTCAAGCTGTAATGCTAACAGTGACTGGTATCAGGAGAGTGATGCTTTCTTAATTTGACCAAATGGCTGTGTCTTGAGGAGCTAATTTTTATTTTTTTTGTATGGGAGGAAGAATGCAATTATAGCATATCTTGTATTTCCTAGGTTCCAAGGGAGAGGAGATCTTCGACAGCTAAACCAGAGGTAGAACATCCTGACCAAGACCATAGCAAAAGGTATTGGTTTTTATTATTTTACGTCTGCTTATCTCCCTTCCCTCCTAGACCACCAAAGCTGCTGAAGGAAAGTAACTTGCTGTGCTGCAGTGTTGTGCTGGAAGAGAGAAATTGTTTGCTTTTACTCTGTGCCCCAAATTCCTGTGCTGCCCCAGGAACAGGATGGGGATTGGACCATGATGTGGAGAGCTGAGGCCCAAACTGCTTCTCATCGGCATCCATCTGCTTTCTATGTACTGGTGTCATACAGTCAACGTAGCAAAAGCTGCTCTTTTTAACACTAGGCACAGCCTGGTAGCATAGGCACCCCTTCCCAAGGCTGTGGAGGTGACTGGTGACCCTTTCATTTTTGTATGCGGTTGCCTCAGTTGCTCACTGCTGATTTTGTTCTCGGGCACCAGCAGCATTGCTTCTTCACGCATGGGCTGATGGGGAAGGACTTCAAAGTGCTTGTGATTTAGTTTTGGTTTTGTGTTGTTTGTGGACTTCTTTTGTACCCTCTGGAACTCCTGTCTTTCTTCCTCTTCCTGCCCTCCCTCTCTTGTGCCTCCCAAGCAGAAGAAGATACTGATTAAGTAAATATTACGAATGTGAGGTTCATTCAAGCCAGGCTTCCACTCCTACCATCCTCTTCCTTTGGACAGACTAGAATGCTTTAAGGACTCAAGGTGAGGTTTTGTGGTCTGGCTGAGCCGATTGAATGACTCGTTGAGAAGAGTGCTCTGGTTCCCAGCCATGTGTTCTCACTGCTCCCCTCCTACCAGCTCTGGTCTTCCACTGACCCACAACCTAGCAGGAAAAAAAGAAGTGGCTAGTTTTCTGCCGGTGGAACAAGCCAAACTGGCTCACCAGGGGGACAGGGGAGCGTCAGAATTGGTGCAAAGGAGAGGGCAGGACCATGTTGTGGGGAGGGAGAAAGGGAGGGCAGGCTGACTTAGTGGCTACTAGCTATGAGGTCAGCTCAGCCACAGATCTCGGTGTCATCCTGGCAGAAATGAGTGTGGTGGGGTGGAGAGTGTGAAGTTATGCAAACCAGTCCAGGGAGTCTCGGTGTGGATTTTCTCGGGGGTTTGTGCATGAAAGAGGGGTGTAATTTCCCTATTAGTGCTTCCCAGGTGGCGTGCAGTCCTAGGGCAGAGGAGCAGCAACCTTGCTCTCAGTCCTTCTCCATCTGCCAAAGAGCAGTTTCATGGAGCCTGTGTGTGCCGATGCATGGTGGGAAGGGCCTTGAAGTGCCTAGTTTTGGACCGTTGTTTTCCAGGCAGTGAGGATCTGGGCTGTGAACCCTCACCCTTTGCTCCAGAGTAATTCATCTCCAAGGTGGGGTTGTTAGCAGTGGGTGAGGTTTCTTTTTTTTAATGAGTTTCTCAGCTTTTCAGGTTAGGATTGAGCTGTTCTGCACAAGCAGGAGAGTTGGCATCAGCTGTCCTTGTCCAAAAGGCTGAGAAGTATTTCTAGCTCCTGTTTAATAAGAAAATGAGCTGTATAATTTATGTATGATTTTTTTCTTTGTCTTTTAAAGGAACAGCATCCCAAATGTGACAGAACAGTCGCTCATTTCTGCTGGAGAAAACAGAGTCCAGGTTCTGAAAAATGTGCCTTTCAATATTGTCCTTCCACACACGCCCCAGATGGGCATGGACAAGAGAGGCCACCTTACAACCCCTGACACAACGGTCACCGTTTCAATTGCCACGATGCCCACCCATTCCATCAAAACGGAGACACAGCCCCATGGCTTTGCAGTGGGCATCCCACCAAGCGTCTACCACCCTGAGCCCCCTGAGCGGGTGGTGGTATTCGACAGGAACCTCAATCCCGACCAGTTCAGTTCCAACACCCAGCCTCAAAACTCCCAGAGGCGAACACCAGACTCCACCTTCTCAGAGACTTTCAAGGAAGGCGTGCAAGAGGTACCAAGAGAGGCAGTCACTGTGTGCGTGTGTGCATGTCTTGATCTGGATGGAGAGATCCAGTTCCATCTTTAATTGTTCTTGTTACATGAGCCAGAAATCTGTCCAGTGATTTAGGAATAGAAGACTTTCTCAGAAAGGTGTATAAGTATAAATTAGTAATAAAACCTTCGCAACATGAAATTGTAATCAAAAGCAAATGACTAATCTTACTAGTGACAGAGCCTTGGGCTTGCAGAGTGTGGAAATAGCTATCTCGATCCACAGCACTGGGCCAGGTTTTGCAAGAGTTCAGCACTCCGCAGTGCCTTTGCAGGTACCAAAGTGAAGTGACTATGTCTGTAAGCTTCCTTACTGCCAGTTTCTAGGCGTGGTGTGTGCCAGTGGAAAACAGTCGGTTTATTTAGGGACCTTGAGTGAGAGTTAGACATGGATGAAAAACCATGTTTTTTGTTTTATGGTACCAACTGAAAACAACAGCATAACCGTGTTTTGATTTTTAAGCCAGACCTCAAGGAACTGTGTAGCTATGTCCTTTCTTTGACATTTGGGAAAGCTTTAAAATGTTGCCCTAAGCTGACTCAGAAGGCTTGTGAGATGATGTGCTTAGTTGACACCCAAAAGTTTTGGATTAAAACCCTGCTCAAGTGTCCTGTTTGTACAGACCAAACATCAGTTGTTACCTGATGATCAATTTGCCTGTCAGAGGTTCTGTGGTAACGAGTATCTGTTTAATCTTGACTTTTCTTGTTGCTGGTGTGTTAATTGTTGTGTTGTTTTGTGTCTAACCCAGGTTTTCTTTCCTACTGAACTGAATCTCCGGATGGCCAACATGAATTCAGAAGATTATGTGTTTGACAGCATTTCTGGGTAACGCTTTAAGCCCCCTGCTTGCCTATATCCTCCTTTTCTCTTACAGTTGGGTTGTCCACGAGCAAGCAGTACAGCTCACTCCCTTCTGCACTGAGTCTCTATCAGGCACTGGGGACGCTGTGGTTCTCAAAACCACAACAGTGCCTGCTCATTTGAATTTCACAGTTGAAAATCCTGCCTGTATCTTTAAGGAAAACTACATGCAGGGTTGGAAATACCACCCCATTTCAGTACCACCCCGTTTCAGTCGATGTCCTTGTACCAACTCCCTGTCCCATGGGAAGATGCAGTGCTGTCTGTCAGCTCTGCAGTGGTCTCGTAGCTGGCTTCCAGCTGCGCCACTCTCCCTGGCCTGCTTGTCTTGCTCTCTCCCTGTTGGAAATCTACAGCAGAAATAGGAAGCATGAAACTCGTCTGAACTCCAAGGGAGGGGAATAAACTAGTTGTTTGGTTAGCTGCAGTTGACCAAGAGGGAGAAGACCGTGGTCACTGAATGGCCTATTAGCTTGTGAATTTAATTTAATTGCTAATAGATACTTTTCTGTTCCATGAGAGCAGCTTGCTGGTCTCAGCCTGAATAGGGAGCTTCTAGTCTTGCCTGCTGATGTGTCTTGGGATTTAGCTTGCCAAGAACTTCTCTTAAATGTTCATTCATGAAGGAAATGGTTGAAAAAGGGGCTCATCCTGTTTTCCAACTTCCTTGCCTGTTGATGGCTTAGTGAGTCAACTAACAACTTTGGAATTTCTCCAAATTAAATGTGGAATGTTCAATCGGCTTTCCAGGAAAATGCCTTAGCAATCACTGCACTCTTCGCTCTGTAGGAATAACTTTGAATACACTCTGGAAGCCTCCAAGTCCCTCCGACAGAAGCCTGGGGACAGCACGATGACTTACCTGAATAAAGGTCAATTTTACCCAATCACGCTGAAAGAAGTCAGCAGCAGTGAAGGAATCCATCACCCCATCAGTAAAGTCCGAGTGAGTGGCGGCTCTTGTGGTTTCTTGGGAAAGAGGGTGTGTACAATGGTAGCCTTAAACTCTCCCGAAGTGCAGTAATCTGAACCAGAGCATCAGCACTAAGGCCAGCTTACCCGCTCTCTTACGTCAATGTTCGTTCTTTTGCTGTCCACCTACTTCCAGACCAACCTGTCCTGGCTCAGTCTGTTAAGAAGTGGTGTCAGCCCTTGTGTAAAGGTGATGCAACACCTGGAATGAGATCCTTGAACTCCAGTTAGGAGAGCAGTTCTGCTCATCTCTGTTTATGACCCAGAAAGTGCTGCTGTCTGCCTTCCAGTTTGGCAGCGGTGTGCCAGGTATACTGCAGTGCGTCAAGTTGGAATGTCTAAAGCAGAAAACCTGATACCAAGGAGAACTTTCAAAACAAATGTACTCTGTGGCCTTTTCTCTTTCACGTGTTTGTGGGGTTTAGAAAACCTGATACCAAGGAGAACTTTCAAGTACTCTGTGCTCTGTGGCCTTTTCTCTTTCACGTGTTTGTGGGGTTTTTTTTTGTGGTTTTTTTTTTTTTTCATCTTACCCCTTCCTCCTCTCCTTTCAGAGTGTCAATGGTCGTGTTGTTTGTGGGTTTTTTTGTGGTTTTTTGTGTTTTTTTTTTTTTTCATCTTACCCCTTCCTCCTCTCCTTTCAGAGTGTCATCATGGTCGTGTTTGCTGAAGACAAAACAAGAGAAGATCAGCTCAGGCACTGGAAATACTGGCACTCAAGACAGCACACGGCCAAACAAAGATGCATTGACATAGGTAAGGAACGTTCTAGTTGCTGATGTCAAACTCCAAACCTAATTCCTTGGCAAGGTTTGGTTTTCTGCTAAAGCTTTGTTATTTTAAGGAACCTTTGGATCACGTTCTCTGCTATCCATAGCTTTGCTGAAAGCCCAGAGAGAGCTCTTGATTGCTTGGAGCTAATGCTGTAGTTTTTAGGACTCCTTGAAGAGGCTGATTTTTGGAGGATTTTGGTTGGTGAGCTGTCTGAGTTCAGGGTTTTGCATTGGGAGATCTAACACCCCCCTCCAAACTGCAGTTGCTTTAGCATATCCTGGTGCTTGTAGCTAAATAACAGCTTATAGACTCTGTGGCTGTCCTAAATACTGTGTTTCTTCAAAGGACAAGATCCTCATAGAAATACCTTGACACTAATGATCCTCCTTCCCACACCTTTGCTCACAACTGGTCTTTGGTACACATAAAAAAAAGAAAACACTGCAAATTTCCACTTGCCTCCAGACAAGGCTGGGGCTGGCTGGCTTCCAGCCTTCTCTGGCTGAAGGCTGGGTTGTACTCCTAGTCCCTTCTGTGAATAAAAGCAGGGATTAATCACTTGGCACTTAAAGCAGACGCGCATGCAAATCTTTGTTATTGAAGGAGTTTTATTGAGAGCTTATGCCCTTGCTGTACAGGGTAGAGTTTCCTGCACATAGCAGGCTATAGCACAGGATGTGCGATATTTAGGATGTCTGCCTTTCTCACTGGAGTTTCTAGTTTGGAATTTCTGCCGAGTCCCATTTTCCCCCTTCCTCCTGTTTGTTGTATTTTGTTTTTGTATGAGAACCATTTCCAGCCTTTTTAATGATGCATTCTTGAGTACAGTTCAGCTTCCTTTGCCCCCAAGGGGTTGCTGAGGAGTTGCAGTTTTTGGCTGCTTTGTGTGATTAAAGACTCCAGATGGTATTGCCTCTTCCTCTCCCTCATGCATCCTTCTTTCTAACAGCTGACTACAAGGAGAGCTTTAACACCATCAGTAACATTGAGGAGATTGCATACAATGCCATATCCTTCACTTGGGACATCAATGAGGAAGCAAAGGTATGTGACCACGATTATATTTCCTGTCCTTTTAGCAGATTCAGGGGCTGGGGGAGGGGAAGGGTGTGTGGCCTACCTGGTGATTAGCATGTAACAAGTTTGTTTACGCTTTTACATTAGGCAAAACCTTCTGGCTATTTCTTAAGAGGGTTTGCATATGCAACTACGGAGAGCTTTGCAACTGCTTTAAGGTTCTTGGCAGAACTGCCTACCTGACAGACAAGTACTGACAAAAGGAAGCACTGAGCGTTTCCAGAGCAGATGAAGTGGTGCGGGAGGTGTGATGGAGCATAGCTGGGCTTGGCAGGGAGCGCAGTTTCTTGGAGGATCCCTGTGGGAGGCGGGGGGCAGCTCTGAGGGAGTTAAGGCTGTGGCAATGGGCTTGCCTTTAGCAGAACAGGGAGTAGCTGCTGCCATTGAGCTCCCAAAGCATGCGTTGCTGAAACCGCAGATCCCAACACCCAGTGACCTATTTCAAGTTAGAGCAGCCTCCTGGTGAACTCTGGTTTGATCTCTTTTCAGAACTGTGGGCACTATGGTAGATGTGTAAGTACAGGCAGCTTCCCTAGCTAGTAGCTAACTGCAGCTGTTTGAAGCTGCTCCAGCCTTTGAAAAAGGTCCGTGCATCTTCTGGGTGCCAGGTCAGAGAGTGGAGTCACCTCTGTTCCTACTGGAAACGTTGTTGCTGGAGTCAAAGTGCAGGAATTTTCTTTGGAGAGTTTCGTTACTTCCTGGGTGTTCGTTAAAAATTGGGAACGGTTTCCTTCAGTTTTTGGAGGCTGGCTGTTCCCTTGCTAGTATGTCACGTGCTAGTCACCAGCGTCATGGGGAAAAGTACTGGTGGCTGCAGAGTGCCATGTCTAGGGAAAGCCCTAGCTTGGGGGATACAGGAGCTCTCAGCAGAGTATGCAAAGGTCCTGTGGAGTTGTGTGCGCCACTGTGCTCTGCAGGAGACACAAGAGATGGTGTCACTGCACAGAGCTCACTTTAACCACAAGTTTTACTCTGTGCAGCACAAAAGCTTTGGAGAAAAGGGAGAGGGAGGGGTTGTGTGGGGGCTGCTGTTGGGTTTCAGCTCTGTGGGAGAAGTTTGGGATGCTTGGCAGGCAGCAGTGAGGAGCTCTGTGTGCTGCTGTTGAGAGAAAGTTCTGCCTTGCAGCAAGCATGACATTACTTTTGAGGCTGGTGTTGGGTGCCTGACTTCCCTGTTCACCAGATTTGGCTTCACTCGGGTTGAGAGGGGTGGCAGGGAGGGCCTTACCTGCTGGAGGATGTTAAAAGGCTGATGTGATTTTTGAAGCATGAAGCACTTCACTATGTGAACAAACAGATGAAGCTTCAGAAGGGCTGTCAAAAGGAGGCAGTAAGTATTCCCCAAATGGTATCCTGCTGCCATAGCCAGTCTAACATTGTCGCATTCTGTGTCGTGTCTGGTAATCTGTGTCTGCGAGGTACTTGAGGGCTTAGGATTTGCACGCAGGGATGGATCATGCAGACAGAGCGATGATTTCGGTCCCCAAGGAGTCGGAAGCACTTCGCAGCTCTGCAGCTGCCTCTCTGCTGGCTGAACCATCCCACAGGAGTAGGGACGGGCCACTAACCCAGGAGCAAGGCTTAGAGCTGGTGCCGAGAACCCCGTGGCTGCCCCAAGGAAAGCCATCACTTCCCACCAGGTGACAGAGCCCAGCCCTATGAAGCAGGCAGTTATTGCCCAGGTGCTCTACAGACCCCTGAATGAGTAGTTTCAGTCCATAGTGAAATTGCTAATAGCAGCTTGAAAAGGTCTAAGGACCGTCAAGGTGATATTTCAGCTCAGAGCTGAACTTCATGGGATGAGGTGGTGCGGGGAGGTGTGACCCAGACTGGTTTTGCAGCTACATAGGCGAATTTACCTCCAGATTCACCGTCTTAGTGCGTGAGATCCATATACTTTGAGTATTGATTTGTATGAACCTGCAGAGAGGACTGTTGATACCAAGAGTGCAAGCCTTGGCTCCTGGGATCAGAATCCTATTAAGGCAAAAATACTCTGGACTTCAGTGTTCAAAGAATTTGCATTTTATCAAGTACTCTGTGTGTTTAAGCATCTATTTAATTTTAATTTTTTTTCCCTGAGTGGATGCATTTTGTCAGTGGTTGGATTTCTCACCAGTAGAGCTGCAGTTCTTTCTCAACTCCTGTGATCTTATCAGGAGATGCATGAGCCAATTTAAACAATTTTTATTGTATGGTTCATTTACCTTGCATGCTCTTTCTCTCTTATTTTCCCTCTTTTTTTTTTCCTTCCTGTCGTCCCGT